TATATATATATTATTGATATATTAATCGATAGAAATTCATACTGATAGCAATATTTATTTTACAATACTATTATCATGAATCGTTTTTTTCAGTTATTTAAAAATTTTAATTTCTGCTTGATAATAAATAATCAATAGTACCTTACAAGTTTTCCAGGTTTTATAAATGTATTATAATATGTTTTAAGCTGTTGCACTTTAACAATTTCAAACAAATCTTTAGTAACAAGTGTTGAATAATTCACCATATATTTTGCAATAGTCATCAATAAGAGCTACAATATTAAAATATTAATATATTAATGTATCTCAAAATTGTATTTATAATTTCGATCTATGCTTTAAACATATACTTACTGGTAATTTTTCATTAAATCCATTCATTTTTATTGTAATACCTTTCTCACTATCACTGATATTATAATCAAATCCAGCCGCTATAGCTGGATATAATTCTTCAACTAATAGCAGCTTTAATACATTACAATACATTTCTATGAGAGCTGTACTGAAATTTATTTATTAATGTAAATGTATCTTTCTTATTTATAAGATACAGATTATACGAATTATACGAAAATTATATATGCAAATATACGCACACATTTAACTATATGATAAATGCATAATTCTATTTTTTTAAAAACACATGTGTTTTCTTTAAATTAATTAAATTATAGTAAACTTTCTCTTCAATTAATCTTCATTCTAACTGTCCATATTTTTATCGAGATTTTTTTAACAAATCAAATGCTGCAGAAGAAAATTGTTTTATGTACCATGCTTGAATAATGCTGTTATAACTTTTCTTACTTCAAGATTATCAAGTTTTTTATGCAAGTAAGAGTTTTTTATGCAAGTACAGTCCCAGTTGTAAGTCATTTAAAACGGTTGATTACAATTTTTTTATATGTTAAAGAAAGAGTATAAAAAGTCAAATATATATTTTGTATAATGATACTCTGAAGTTCTAACTATCATATTTTATTAAAAACAATTTTTTATATAAAAATAATGATTTAAATTTTAATAAATATTTAATAATTCAATAAGTTGCTCACTTTCTTATCCTATTTTCTTATCTTAATATTACATATCCCAATAACCAAACTTGCGGAAACAGATTTTGTACAGAGTACTACTATCAATATCAGAGTATACAATTATACTTCTGATGGCAGAAAGGTAGCAAATTTCAAACGCAATCTGTAATATCTGACGATGTCGATAAACTATTGTCAAAATATGATAAAACTTGTTAACAGACTATGAAAATAGATTAGTTGGGCCTCTGTCGCCATGACGTACAGCCTTCCTTCATAACATAACGGCAGATTAATAATAGAAATCGAGCGTATATGCAGAGTTTTCTCGATTTCGCCAACACCTGCTGGCATAGAATGACAACAGGTTCTGTCGCAACCTGAATAGAACGTACGCAGAATGCGACTTCGGATGAGATCAATCTGCTATTTTCTCATCAAATCTGTTGTCAGTCTGCCGACATTCTAGCATTTTGCTAGAATATAAAATGTAATATAAAATGTAATATAAATGTAATATAAATGTAATATAAAATATCTTGTTTAAAAAAATACAAATTTATCCTTAATAAATATGAACTTTTTCTTACTATATTATATTTATATAACAATATTTATATTTATATAATATTTATATTATAATACTTATGCTGAGAGTTAAACAATGAACATTGCGGTTAATATAATTCTTTTGTAATATTATAATTGAATGAAGATATCTTATTAAAAAATGACATAATAATATATAATAATATTACATTTCTTCTTAAATATGTTTAATAATTATTTGTTCAATAAAATAAATTAAAAATAAAAGTAACTGATTACTGGGACTTGACTTACAATTGGGACAGTTATCTTAAATATGTAATAAACATTTATATATAAAATTTTTATTTAATTTATAACTCTATCTATTAATCTGTAATTCTATAAATTTTGTTTTGTATATATTTGTATCAATATGGCTATTTATTTATTCGACTGGAAAGTTTAAAGCTAGTGCCTGATTATGTGCGATTTATGCTTTATGATTCACAATTCACTGTTTATATAAAATTTGTTATTCAATTGGATATACAGATCTTTCATACTATTTGCAATTCATCATTCATAGTTTAGGATCCATTTATAATTCATGCTTTACTAGCAGTTTTATCAGTGTAAACAACAGAGATTAACAAATTAATTTTAACACATAGTGTTAAAATACTAATAATATTAAATAGCACTATATACAGAGTGTTCCGCGAGACTTCTGCTATTATGCGTAAAAAAATAGATGGGACCGAGATGAACATAAAAGTCCCACACCATTTTGTGATATTCGCAATAATAATCGAGATATTAATTATTAAAAATCAAATTATTCTCTTAATAAAAAGCATCTCTGAGATCTCTGAAATCTCTACAAGTTACGTTCACTGTTTAATACTTTCACACCGTTCCAGTCAAATTCATGATCGTAATCTAATCTATGCTCGGTAATGACTGAATGTGTGTTCGTGTTCCTACGTATATGACTCTGGTGTTCGTGCAGTCTCGTTTTTAAAAATTAAAATATTAACATATCCTCAAAAAATTTAAATTACATAAAATTCTAATTTACTTATAAATTTTTCAGTTTCTGCAAGATAACTAATCACAGAAAAAGTGATCATTATTTTCACTTCACCATGAAAATCAGAAAAAAATCAATAAATGTTAGGATTATCTTATCTCTATTAATCTATATTAATCATATAAACATATACTTTAATGAACTTAATGAATTGAATGACAATTTTAAGAGTATTATAAGAAGTTGGGATACATCTATATAATATTTCCGACACAAATGTTTTCATAAAGAAATTCTCCAAAATAGGAAAAATCAGATATATTCCTGATGGAATAAAAGAATGTGTAAAGGAATTGAAAACAATAAGAAAGTATAAAATGAAATAACTTAATTAAATTTAAAAAATATTTCACAAAAAATTTGGTGCTGAACTGAATGCAATAAGAATGAATAAATAAATATGATAAAATATGATAAACATATATGCAAAATATATATATATATATATATGTATAGGAGCAATTCATTGCAATAAGACAATAGAATTAAAATTAAGTTTAAAATCCATAAGTTGATTTAGAAAATATAAGATATGACAATATGTTAGAATTAATATTAGTTTTAAATTTAAATTAACTTGGACAAAAATAAAATTATTGTAATTTCAGTATTAGAAAATAAACTTTATTTTTTATGTTCTAAACTAAAAACTAATTATTTGTCCTTATTATTTTATTATATTTTGAGGACTAACAACATCAAATCTTTTGTATTAAATTTGTTTTTTTTATTTCAATTATATTGTCTTATTATATATTGTTATCTTTTTTATTTTTTCAAATCCTTTACACATTATTTTATTCTATCAAGAATATATCTGATTTTCTTTACTTAGAAGAATCTTTACAGAAATATTTGTATCGAAATATCACAATTATAGATATATCACAATTATAATTACATTCAATTTATAAAAATGTTACATATTTATATAATAGATAACTTTAATATCAGAACTATAGTTGATACACTTTTTCATATCATATTATCTTTTGTAGAAAATTAAACAACAGCTTTTTTCATATAATTAAACAATATATTAATTTTATTTCTAATATTCTTTCGAGACAATATAAAACGTAATTTTTTACCTTTCTAAAATATTAATTTTGATTAGATCTTTTTTGAATAAAATTAATAAATATATATAATATTCAAAAACACATAATTAATGATCGA